TACCAAAATTGCATTTTATATTTCACCCTAATTCTATTTTACTTGATAGTTCAGTTACTTCTTTAGACCAGAAACATTTTGATTGGTCATCAAGGAAGGAAGAAAAAAAGAAATTGAAAAGACGTAATGTATTCTTTGTTGACGAAATCCGAGTAGTCATCACCGGATTCTTGGACAATTGATACTACTTTCCAAGGATTTCAGTATCCATTGCACGACAATCTGTAGAATCTGCAGACTATACCATCGTAAAGAACACCTGGCTGGAAGGTTGTGGTCTCTTCAATTCAAATAATGATTCATCGGATTATTGCAGATAAGATTGTCAATTTTACGTCATTTGCAATACATATCAACATATTTATACAAGATGTACACTTTGATATTTACTACTTTCAATAATCTGTTAAAAATATTGTAAACAAGTTAGTTACTTTTTATTCACTACATATTTATACATATTAACTTTTGGTTACATGACTTTATCAATTCTGAAATATAATGCATGGAAATTGGCAGATTTTCAAACTTACAATTATACTCGTTTTTAAATTTTCGAGTTCATAAATTTATTCATTTTTGATGCATTTATACATTTTGAAATTTACGAATTACTAAATTTTTTAATTTGTGAACAATTGAATAAATTATTATTTTTGAATTTGCAGTTTTAAAATTATATAAATTAGAGATTCACGTTTTTGTAGTTTACGAAAATTTATATGTAGAAGGATCAAAATTGTGTAATGCTACGTGCGGAATTATCACGTATTGCATCATTCAACGCGAAATTGCCACGTGTTATATAGCCATATTTGAAACTTTTGCGTGTTATGTAGTCACGCACTGTACTTTTACTCGTAAAATTGTCACGCGTTATAACGCCACGCACAGTGTTTCCACTATTACAGTTATTATGTTTTGGATTATCACGGGTGAAAGTGCTACGCGTTATATCACCGTACGTGGAATTATTACGCGTTATATCACTGCGTATTGTTTATTCTATGCATTATATCGTCATGTGCTGTATTTCTGCTCTTGGAATTGTTACGTTTACAATTACCACGAATGAAAGCGCTACGCGTTATTTCACCGTATGTGGAATTACTACACGTTATATCACTGTGTATTGTTTTTTTCTATACATTATATCATTGCACCCTGTATTTCTACTCTTGTAATTGTTACGTATAGAATTGCCACGTATGTATAGGCCACGTATTATATCGCCACGCATTATATTGCCGCTCATGGAATTATTACGCATGGAGCTGCTAATAAAATTACAACGCATTATATTTACATATGTATAATTTTTACATAATTGGAACATTTTTTATTACTACATAATTTATCGCCACGCATTATATTGCCGCCCGTGGAATCACTACAAATGGCATTGCTAATAGAATTACGACGCGCTATATACATACATATCATTTCTACTCGTGTCATTAGCACATTTTAAATTCCTATGCGATATATCGCCGCGAGTAGAATTACTACGTATTATATTGCCACGTATTTTTTTGTACACATTATATTATTATATTATGCCCTGTATTTATATTCTTGGAATTTTTATGTGTGAACTGCTAATAGAATTACGACACATTATATTTATGTGGCCACACATTACATTGCCGCTGATGGAATTATTAAGCGTCGAACTATCACGTTTTACATGTATTATGAAACGTAATACGCGTTAAATCGATACATATATAATTACTACGTGTTTTATCACCACTCTTGGAATTACTACTCATTATATCACTATAATTCTACTTTCGCACGTAGCAATGCTATGGACGATCTTTATTGACTCTCATATTTTATTATTCGAGAAACAAATTAAAGTTCTTATCCTGTTAATTACATGTTTTTTATTAAACAAATTGTAATAAAAACTGATACATTTTTTATGAAGTTGATGACCCTAGAAATTCATATATTTAGTAAGTTATCTCATAAACATCTGTAATTATACTTGTTGAGAAACATATTCTAAGGGTAAAATCTTCAAAATGTTAAAATAATTATAACTGCGATATTTTATGATTTCATAATAGGTTATTTTAATTATTGTTTTTAATAAAATGTTATAAAATAAACAGTCGAAGACATGGAGACATGATCACTGACATGTATATTTATTACAAATTATTTACAAACTAAACGGTTCAATTAATAAAGTAAATAAACTGTTGTATTTTCTCTTTCACGATCGCCGTTTTTTCGTAAATCACCGAATATTCGCTTAGTTTCGTGACAGCGATTAAAGTGCATCGCCAATCGCCAAACAAGCGATCATCGATTGCGTCGCTTGCTGCGTGGAAAGAGCAAAGGGTTGAACAAGGGGGAGAGAAAAGAGGGAAACACGGCAGACGATGTTGCGCGGCTGAGTGGATTAGTGATCGAGTTAGCGATCAGACGAGCTGTTCTTTGTCTACGTTTAACGGCTGTTAAACATTTCTGACCGACGACCGTCTGTTGGACAAAAAATAAAGACGCAAAAAGAAGAAAAATAGTTGGTTTACGCCTTCGCAAATGCACGCTTTTATGAACACAGAAACGCTGGGTTATATATCTGAAATCTCTGGAGCTGATTCTTGAGGGTGAAACGCATGGTAGAAAATCCTCAAGGTCTTCCTTTGTATTTGTGCGGGCGGATCAATGTACTGAATATTTTTAGTTTGCCCTTGAATTTTTTTAATAGTTGATCCAATGAAAAATATTTATCGAGTTCTACAGCAGGAAAAATGTGAAGTATAAGTTAAGGTTCAATGTTGATATAATTTTCTGTGGTTTTGTGGTATATGATCGTTATGGAGATATTTATTTGATAACAAAAATTGTATTTTTTCCTGTCATTCTTACTTATGAGTAAGATGATATTTTTCTAATTTTTCTGTTAAATATTAGAAGCCGTTAATACAACTTCATAATATAATCAAATTATTAAAATAAAAATTATATTCAGAATATTATATTATTATACTGTATAATGATAATACTATTGTAATATCCTAATTTATAATGTATATTTTTACAAGTTTTATGATAGTTATAATATTTATATTATAATTTTAAAATATATTTATTTACATACTATTTATTTCACAGTAAACATATGAAGCATTTAACGTCTATAGAAATCTATTTCGCAAATAATATTAAGTTAATAAAATCGGTTTTTCAACATAAGTTATTTTAAAAGTTCAATTGAAAGCTTTAATAATGGTGTTAAATTGCAATATTGTCTGAAGGTCACAGTCACCTTGCCACCAATCGACAGTGTTAACAACCCCAAAAAGGAGTACAGTTTTTCTTGTCACGTATCGCAATAAACAAGTCCATGCGAATCGTTCTTCCCCTTGATGCGATGTTTCTTATCTACATTTCGTAAGCTTATCCTCAGTCCCTCGTTCTCCGATTCATTCCGAATTGCGATAAGAAACAAATGACCGGTTGATAAGGGACAAAAAGGTATACCATGAACGCGCATGTTCCTGTATACAGGGTGTACAAGAATTAATAGTAAAAAAGCGATATATTCTATAGATTTAATCAAAATTAAATTACTGTATAATTATGCCTTTTCTCTGGTGTAAAAAATATTGTAATTTTAACGTAAACACTTGTCGGTCATATTTATATTAGGTGATATTTTCTGTAAAAATTAAAAAATTTTTTAATTTAAGAATTTCGAAATTGGAATTCTTAGAAATATGTGAATTTGAAGATTTGAAAATTTGATATTTCTGAAATTTGAGAATTTTAAATTTTGGCGACGAGGTATCGTAGAAATAATAGGCCTATTTAAAAATGCAGGAAGTTTCGGAATTAAAACATTTCATATTTTAAATATTTGAGAGTTCTGTATTTTGAAGTATAGGAATTTGAAAATTCAAGAAACACGTACAATCAAAATGCATGAAATCATCATGCGGAGAATTACTCGTTATATCGCCACGCATTATATTGCCACGCATTTTAATTACTTTATATAAAATTTCCATGCATGGAGTTACTATGCGTTATATTGCCATGCATTGTTTTTCCACACGTAGAACTGTCACTTGTTATATTACTTTGTATCTTATTTCGTGTAGTAAAATCGTTACGCATAGAACTTTCTCGCGTTATATCGTCACGTATTAAATTATATTGTTTTTTACACATAGAATTTCAACTCTTTATATTGCCCTGCATTTTATTTCTAATCACAAAATTGCTATACATGAAATTGCTATGCGCTGAATTGTTTTACATTATATTTTGTTCCATGGAATTATAAAATTTTCATACATGGAGTTACCTCGCGTTATATTGTCAAGCATTGTTTATTGTTTTCCTGCGCGCTTTCCTAAGATTGTCACTTGTTATATTGCATCGTATTCTATTGATACACGTAGAATTATCGCACATTATATCACCATGCATGGAACTTCCACTCATTATATCGCCCCGCATTCTCCAGTCTCCGAATTGGCGCATGTGGATTGTACGTTATATCTCTACACATAGAATTTCCACTCGTCACACATTTTATCCCCAGTCTGGAAATTGCTACGCATCATATTGCCACGCACAATATTACCTCCGTCAGGAATTTCCCAACCGCATATTTTTATTATCTTTTCCGTTGTACGCACGTCACAACGAACTGACATGAAAAAAGTATCAAAATCCATATGGGCGTCACATATCGATAAGTTAATCATTTGTATGCACAGTATCCAAAGTGTCCTAAACGCGGTTCTTGGAAACACCCTGTATACACATACAGAAATCGTAAACAGAGGGCGGAAATGTGTTATGGTGCCATGGAGTACACCTCCTTCCCTCTTCGTTTTTCCATGTTTCCCCGCTTTCCTCGATCGACCGACTCGCATTTCGGTCCGGTAGGTTAGGTTAGGGTCGCCACGGTTTGTCGGGCGCGGTTAGGCGGTGAGGGGCAGAGAAGGAAACCGGCTCCCACCGTTCCACGATTCGCTTCGCACTTCAGTTGCCTCGCGTACGTCGAACCGTGAACATCTATCCTGTCTCGGTCCTTCCAGTCGTCGGACACGTTGCGCGCTCGTCTCGTTTTAAAATCGCGTTCCCTTGCTCCCGAATAGTCGTGTGTCGCAAATTCTCGACCCTTCTTTACCGACTGCGAGAACAGTGACGTATTCGCGAGTGAATTTTCGGAAATGGTGTAAAGATGTTCTATGTGAGTGGTTCGGTGTTGATATTCGACGAATGATCGAGTCCCATGACTCGCAGAAGAACTTTGCGATCGTTGCTCTGTGGCATGTGTTGACTTGATGGTTTTCGAAGGCGTCGAGATGCGGAACCCGGGGTTCCTTCTCGAAGACGCCCGACACGGATACATTCAGTACATCAGGTAAGATTTCTGGCCATTTCACGGTCCTCTCGAAAACACGGCGTTGGTAGTACTTAACCTAACACCGAACATTCAAAAATTTGTAAATACAAATTACTTGGACTATGTACTCTACAAGGTACATTCGGAAAATATTGTTTAATTCACTGTTTTGTTACGATGTCATATTTTTAACGAAAACCGCACTCTATGAAATACAGCGATGACAATTTATTTCAAAATTTAGTGAAGTAAGACAGTTGACGACAAAAACGTTGTGTTAAAAACGTCAGTGTTTTGTACACGCTTCCAGCCTCATTTTTAACGAGACATAGCTCCATCGAATTTTCTGTCACTCGTTATTTAAACATTTGACAGTTACAAGGTGGTTTGTAATAACGACGTTGTTTTAAAAATGTAATGTGTTATGTTAGGTTAGGTATCAACCTCATATTTTTAAGAAGGATTTTAGAAAATTGTGCGTTGCCAATTTTTTTTTGTTCTGATCGTTGGGAATCATGTGAGCGGAAAAGTCACTTTGTAAACGTTGTGTGTCGATGTGAATAGAATAATGTGTCATAAAGCAGACGTGAAGTATGTATTGTTCTCGGTAAAAATCGATATTTCATTCGATATCGATGTTTCTTAGTTTTAGATTCGTTTCGAATGAATTTCCGGATAGAATAGTGTTTCTGTGCGAGAATGTTTCTCAATTCTCTAACCGAATTCGAGCATAGTCACGTGGTAGTAGCGCAATTTTCAAAGATGATTACAAATTTTATTGGACGGCTTGTAATTAACGGTGATATTAGTCATTTAAATTTGTCCGCAATGAATGATTCACCTGTTGATGTTTTCCTTGAAGTAACAGTAAATAAACAAAAAAGATGGGTTAGGTTCACTTACACGAGATATGAGATAAGATGTTCAGATATTTTAAGGTTATACTGATGAGTATGTTGATATAAAATATTATATGTGTTTTGTACACGTAATGATGTATTAAATTTCTTTTTTTTTCAAAGAATTGGTACATTGTAAAACCGGTTTATTTTTGAAGATAAATGAGATAATATGGAAAGATGATTACTCCGTGTAGAGACAGTGGAGTTCAGAGTTTGAAATACGCATCTCGTTTCGTTTTTCTTTTAGTAGCAGATTTATTTTTGGAAATGGCATGAAAATTGCAGATGCCGGTCCAAGCGATTCTCTTACGAGCTTTTACAGAGGTTCTCCTCTCCATTATACGTTTAAGAATCATCTCACGTACATATTCGTGAGATCTATTTTTTTCAAGATATTTTGCAGTTGAAACAAACAATGGAGACCGTGTAGTCTGTTTTTTAAAATGCTTTCGTGTTTTTATGGAAACCAGAAATAAACCGTTTGAATGATATGAATAATAAACGGTGTTATTATAATAAAATGAATCATTCGCAAAATTTTCCATTTTTTAAGTTATAATTATTTTTGTTACAAACAGTTTGTAACTTTATAATGAAAATCATTTTTATATGGATTGTCAAATAAATTAGTATTAGATATACGTGAAGTTTAGTTAATTTTTAACATTCTGGTGATTATTTTAATTTCAAATTCCCAAACTTTGATATTCAGATATTGAAATTAAAAAATTTAAGTTACAATAAATTTGACGATTTCATTACTATTGTATGAAAGTAAAGAAGTTTGTAATATGAACAGTAACTTTTTCATACCCTTAATGTTGATATTTCTTAGAAATAAAATTTTTCAATTTTCCATAAAAGTTATATAACGGATAAAATTTAATATTTCTTAAACTTTTAATATTTTTTAAATCTACCCTTTCTCCATATTAGAAAACTAACAATTAATTACAATTTGACAATAAATTAATTTTACAATTCTAAAGCAAAAAGTGAAAAACACTTTACAACACACTGATACATTTTAAATACATTTGATATCCATAAACTGTTAATGAAAAAATATTTCTTACACCTAGTAGAGAAACAGATGTAGTTCAATATACAGGGTGTTTCGTGTTTTAATGGTGGTGTTTACCAGCAAGGTGGTTACTTTTCATGTCAGCTGACTTGAAGCAGCAGCTGCATCGCTTTTGTAGCATCGCTGACTGAAAGGGGACCCTCGAAAGCAATTATTTTTCAAAGAAGAGAGCTGTCGAGGTGGCTAGCTTTTTGTGCAAGCTTTCAATTTCTCACGGTAGCTGCTTTAAATCTTTCTCTCGTACCGCAATTGTATCTTACGTTAGTTTGATAATTCAATATTTCATTTATTTATCTTCTTCCTTTCTTTGTTCTACATTCTATCTCAAACTTTTTATTTTATCTGTCGAACCAGGAGTGTACGTTTTAATTAAGATTTACTTACCAGTAAATTTTAATGAGAATATTTCTTTAAACTATAGTACAATAAAAGTAGAAATTTTTGTTATAAAATTATATTTTAGCTTTGGGTGATTTTGTGGTATATCACAAATTTTACACTTTTAGCTTTTTCTTTTGATAATTTTTGGTGTTACAGTTTTGCAAAATCTTTTTGTGAACGAATTTCATCTTTTCTTCAGGTGAAAACAACAATATTTAAAAATTATTAATTATTGCTGATAATTTATGATAATAATTATATAATATGGCAAAGTTAATAATAATATTAAAATATTATTAATAATATTTATCTTGTAATAATATTAAAGTATTAATATTAAGATAATAATTATTTTATACTAATTATGCACTAAAATTTTATACTAATTTTATACTGACTGATTATCTTATTGTAATATTTATATGACTTAATTGCAGTACTGATAATTACATTACGTACATTACTGAATAATTATAAATAATTTTTAAACGTTGAAAACAATTGCTACATCATTCTTTGATTAACGTATTATCATTGTCTTAATTAATAAATTGCAGTATTGACATTTCTTGAAGTTTTGTAAAATGATAATATTTAAAGAATTATGCTAATTTCCATTATTAACGATAATTTAATAAATTTTTTAAAATTAAATTATATGTATTATTTCAAATAATAACTGTAATTTTTAAGTATTTAAAAATGTTGAAATATTAACATAATTTTTATTTTTACCTCAAGTGAAAGTATTCTATCTTTCTTTATCAATAATCCTAAATATTTTAACACTAAACTACTAAAATTGACCTGTTCAGAATTTTTTTATTTCGAATTATAAATTTTAAGAAAATGGTATTCTTGAAATCTGAAATTCTCGGAATTTGAGACAAAGAATTAATATATATTTTATAATCATTTGTTTATTTGCCTATTTTGTTTTTAATTTCAAATTAAATGTGTATGATAGGTAGGTTTAGTGTTAAAGTACATTTTTTGTTTATTTAATTTATTACGTTTCAGAATGATTTGGCATGTTAGAAAATAGGTGTAATTTTTCATAAATATTAGAAATCAGCTGAGTTGGTTAATCGGACGAAATAGTTACACAATGGCTTACATTACTCACTACTATTTATTATTACCTTCGAAAGTAAATGTCTTGTTAAACTCTTGAGTATATTCGCTTATAAGTTTCACTGGTTTCAACATCGTCCCAACACAAAGTCGATCATCGTTACTGGCCAATTGTACAGCAATGCGGTTAACTGTTGCCTGGATACAGAAATCACAACACGAAATACCCGATTAGCTAATCAATTACATACATCAAATTTCGTACTACTTTCGTTACTTGTTTATTCTATTAAATATCGGTAATAAAATTAAAAATGTAAATTTTTAAAGAATTGTTTTAAAAAAAAGTTTGCAATTTTTGGAAAAGATCTTCTAATTTTTATTTATATTAGTATTTTATGGAGACAACATTTTTTTGAATTATTACTTTTTATTTAATTTATTAAATACTCTAATTCAATTACGCAAAAATAAATTGATTTAATTTAATTTCAATTTAATGATTAAACAACAATTCCTTATTATTTCAGTTTAATTATGAACGAATAATTTGATTGCGATTTAATTATGAAGAGATAATCTCATTTGACTTAATTATGAGAAGATAATTTGATTTTTTTTAATAATGAATATGTGATTTGAGTTAATTTAATAGTAAAATTTTCGTTTGATCAGAAGGACCATATTAATTTCATATTGAAATTTTATTTTTGTGTAATATTTCATGCAATATTTAAATATTTATCTTAAATGTATAGATAGTATAATATAATATATAACATATCAATCAATAAGGGTAATAAGTATGAGAATATCCTAGTATTTATTTAAAATTTGCAGACAATATAACAAATTACATAACAGTGATAATATTTGCGTTTATCAGTTTATATATCAACTACCCATAAAAACAAAATAACTTGAAAAATCTTATCGAAAGTTATAACACGGAAGGAATTAATTATAATTGAGCATAATGTTAATAATTCATGCATTTATATAATTTCATTTAATTCATTTTCAGTCGTAATTTTTTATACAATTCATTCTGTCCGTTATTAAGCACGAATAGAATTTAATTACAGAGCAAGGCAATAAATTATTAAATATTACGTTCGAACCATAATAAAAGGAGTGTGCAATTATATTTCGTTACGGTGTGATTGCGATTTTTCGCGTAATAGATTGTATAACAAGGAATTTCCCGGTACTAATGATACCAACCAAATTGATAAAAATAACCAGATTAGAAAGAAATCGGAATAATACGGTATAACAACGTTTCGTAATATCGTGCTCGTTTATACTTCCTGGTTAGACGGCCTGGCGCCACACAGGCTCGATATTGTCATCAGTCTTGAATTCATTTCGGATGTCATTATTTCTCCTTCGTTGGACGAACGGAGTCACGCACGCGAAACATTGTAACCAGTGGGTCTACAGGCCAGATGCCTCACACGAATTCGAATGTGTATTTAAAATTTAGTGTAACCACTGTAAACATATAGGTAGAACAAGAATAAGATAAGGTGAAGTAGGGTAAGTTCGTCAACGGGGCAAGTGCGTGTACAGGCTAA